CCAAATGACTCCATCAAGTGGAAAGAACCAATTTGTTACAGCTCTCAACTCTTCTGCAGCGCCACGAAAATATTCCCAAGCAAGCCCAGGTGGGCGGGCTGTCTCCTGCCCGAGCAGACTCCGGCCCTCAGGTAAATCACATCCTCGTGAGAGGAAGGATTAGAGGGAGTGGCGACCCGTGACGCTCCCGAACCCGCGGAGCAGAGGGAATATCAGCCCGGTGAGCGCTGGGCGAGAGCAGTGTGGACGGGCAGCAGGGACCTTCTGCGGGGTGGACATCGGGAGGAGAGACACCCACACCTCTCCCGCTGCAGCCCCTGCACCGCCACAGGTAATCAATCAATCAACCAATCAATCAATCCCTCCTCCGCGGGTGCCCCTGCCTTGGCACGGGCTGCCAGCGAGGGGCTGTCCCTGGGCACGGCAGGAGAGAGCTGCAGGGGGCTGTAGGCAGCAGGATGGGACAGCGGGGCTTCCCCAGGGTCCCTTTCCAAGGGAATGTCCTTTGTGCTGCGGGAGGGGCAGGGGGAGCGCTCGGGGGCAGGGTGCTGGCAGAGGTTTCACCCCGCTGCACCTCTCGGAGCTCACCGGGGGCTCTCCAGCCCTGCTGAGCTGAGCGACGCTTCACTAAGGGAGTATTTCTGCAGGTTTGCTGTTGGGAGGAAAGGGCCATCCCAGGCAAGGCTCTTCCCTGGAATTTGCATTCTCTCCTCCTGACGTTACGCCACAAAAACGCTTTCTGTCTCTCCTTGCTTCTTCTAAAGGCTCAGGCTGAATGTCCTGAGTGCAGAGCCCCGGGGCCGAGCCGGGCTGTGAGAGTGCGTGGCTGCCGTCCCTGCCGTGCCCCCACCTCTGCCCGCCTGTCCCAGAGAGCCGTGTTCTCCTCAGGAGCATCCCGGGAAGGATGCGGGGAAGGAGGGTCCTGCTGCAGCACGGGGATGTCGGCGGTGACAGGCGGGGCACTCAAGGGTCTTGGCCCCAACTCGCGCCCCAGGGGGTGCAGGGAAGGAGGCTGGTGGGGAACCCTCCTTCCCCCAGAGTGGGGGTCAGGGCTCTGCCGAGCCAAGTCAGAGCCCCCCGACCTCGTGCTGTGAGCGGGACGGTGGACAAGGGGTGTCCCGGGTGCCCCCCAGCAGGGCAGTGGTGCAGTTGGCATCCTCCACACATCCGCGCCAGGGACAGCAGAGGGAGCGGGTGACTTTCTCGCCGGCTGCAAAACCTCCTCCTGCAGCGTGGGAAGCCGGATCCTCCTGCAGAAGAGAGGGAATGAGGAGGGTTAGAGCCGGCAAGGGACAGAAGCTCTCAGCTGCTCCCAGCTCTCCTTCCTTTCACCAGGGGAGCAGTGGGGTGGGTGCAAAATAGGTGGCACGGGCATCCAGCCGGGATCGCTGCTTCCCGTGCAGCCCGGCACAGGCACGGGCATTCAGTGGCGATTTGGCAGCTCCTGGCGACATTGCTCCACACAATTTAACTATTTCGGTGTGTCACACAAGAGCTGAGGCAGTAGTTCTGCCCTCAATTTGTTGCCTCCCAACAAATTGACCCATGCAGGGTCTGCCTGTGTCAGTGGGGTGGAAAGAGAGGATCTTTAAGGTCTCTTTCAACCCAAACCATTCTGTGGTTCTGTGTTTCTATGAAATAAAATTATAGTAAGGTGTTTTGTGGTAGGAAAATGTCAAAACAGATCCTTCCAAACCTATCCCAGAAAGAACAGGGGGCTCCTGAGATGGTGTTTCACTCAGCTTTGCAAAAACAGGTCAGGGGTGTCCCAGGGGTTATTCAGGCATAAGGAGAGCCCAACAAAATCACATTGTTTGATTTCAACTTCAAAACAAAACTCCATGGCCCTGTGACTTAAAATTGGGTGGTTTACTCCTTCCAACTGCCCAAGGCATCATTCTAAATGAATAATCTTTAATAATCTCCTTGAAAACCAGGTTTGCCTGGGCACAAATAGCTGTACACATACATGCTCCTATTTCCAAAAACAAGGGCCTGATGAACAGTGTGGGATTAAGATGTGGTAGAATTTGGACTCTGCCATTGGTCAAGATTAGCAAAAGAAGCCATTTTTAGAAGCAATTAGAGGACTTCAAGCTTAAAATGATTTCATCTGTGGAGTGGTCACGTTGATCTGCTGATGGAAGTGAAGTGGACATCAGGCATTACCCAACTTTTCCCCAGTGCACTGCCCAGCTGTTGTGCCAGTGCCATCAGTGTCTCTCACATTCCTGCTGTTGATGATGTTTTGCAGAGCACCAGGATGTGGCTGTTCCTGACCATTGCTTATTTACTGTGCATCGGGGAAAAGTCGGATGCAAACCCCGAGGTCTCCATGGATGTTGTAAGTCCCAACTTCTCCCCCTTCTTTCCCGCTTGGTCAGGCAAGCTCCCTGGGCATGGTCTCTGTGAGTCTTCACCAATGTTTGATACCAGGTTTTATTATCTCCCTGTTCTTCTTCATGAGAAATCTTCCCAGATTTATGGCAGACATTTATGGGGAACTTCATTCCAAGTCAGCAGGTTTGGCCACCGCAGCTGTCTGAGGCTCAGAGCGTTGCTGTCACTGCTGCCCCGCTCTTCACACGCCCTGGTTGCAACACCACAAGAGACAGTTCTGTACCAGAGCTGCTCAGGGAGTGCAGGAAACTCCTGCCTGCCAAAAGCTCCAGCTGCAGTGGTGGCAGCACCGCAGCGCCGGTGGAAGGGCCCTTGGGAGGTCCCTGCCCCTCCCTCCCGCCGGCAGCAGCAGCCACCAACACCAGCTCGGGGCAGCCACTGGTGGCTTTGCTCAGCCAAGCCCTCACAGCCTTCAGGAGAGAGACCCCCACCCCCTCCCTGGGCACCTGTCCCACGCTGTCCTTCCCCTCCTACAGGGTGAAATCGTCCGCTACCACGGGTACCCCTACGAGGAGCACGAGGTGCTGACGGATGATGGCTACTACCTGGCCCTGCAGAGGATTCCTCACGGCAGGGGCAACCCAGGCAGCATGAGCATCTCCCATCAAGCAGAGGCACGGGGCTCCAGCATGTTCTGTCCCCGTAAGTGTCACAGGAAGGTCTGCCTGGTCTCCGTGCAAAGGGCACAGTCAGTGTCCACATGTGGACCTGTGTTTCTCTCTGGGAGTGTGATTTATCAGCCTCCATTAAATGCAGAGCCCAGCCTTATTTTCCATCTCCACTGTAACAATTTCCTCTGCCCTGGAATGACCAAAGAGCCTTCTTCAAAAGCACCTCTCCAGAGAGGCTGAGGACAGAGGTGACCACCTCCCTGCACTGGTGGCACTGCCCCGGGGGGTTGCTGCCAAAGCAATACCTGCATGGGAAGGGTCAGTGTTCCCAGCGGTCAGAGCAAATGATTCCTCCTCTTCTTCCTCCAGCTCCAAAGGCTGTGGTCCTCCTCCAGCACGGGCTGGTGTTGGAGGGAAGCACCTGGGTTACCAACTTGCCCAACAGCAGCCTGGGCTTCATCCTGGCCGACGCCGGCTACGACGTGTGGATCGGGAACAGCCGGGGGAACAGCTGGTCACGGAAACACAGAGAGTTTGACTTTCACCACCAGGAATACTCAGCTTACAGGTATTTGCTGCCAGCCTGCAGGGCGGGCAGGTCCCTGGCACCCTCAGCAGGGTTCTGCAGCTGGAGGAGCAGCGCTGCTGGCAGTCACACCATCTGCCAGAGGGGAAAACAAACCGGCACCACCGGGACTCCACGGGGCTGCCCAGACCCACCAAAGCCCTTGCCTGCTCCCAGGCAGCCATGGCACTGCTTGCCACGTGCTCCCAAGGTCAGCAGGAGTGATTTTGTCCTGTGCATGTCTCCACTGCAGCTTCCACGAGATGGCCATGTATGACCTCCCAGCCACCATCAACTACATCCTGCAGAAAACCGGGCAGGAGCAGCTGTACTACGTGGCTTACTCTCAAGGCACCACCACAGGTACTTAGGAGGAGGTCAGCCCAGTGTCACAGTTGCACCCAGTTTTGGAGTGTTCTTAAAACCTTGGTCAGGGACAGTAACATCCAAGCACGTCCAAACAAGAGTGGGAAAAGGGCAGGTAATAATCCCTGTTTGCTTTAACAGAACAGTTTTGAGCAGTGACAGCCCAAAATCGGTGGCAGCCATAGCTTTTGGGGCATCCCACTGCTGCCAGAGCCCCAGGAAGAGCTTTGGGAGGTGTAGCTGGGCTGAGCACTCAAGCTGGGACTTCAAATACATCAGCAGCAAAGGTTTCAGGTGAAGTCACCAACCTGCTAGAGCCACTTCTAAGGGTCTTTCTGGTGGGCTCACACACCTGGAAGTCAACAACTCCTTCAAATATAACAGGGCAGGGTCTGCTTCCTTCTCCCTCACACAGGTTTCATCACCTTTTCATCCATTCCTGAGCTGGATCGCAAAATCAAGATGTTTTTTGCCTTGGCTCCCACCACTGTGAATTCCAACACGAAGTCACCCTTGGTGAAGGTGTTTCACCTTCCCGAGGCGCTGTTTAAGGTATGTCCTCACCACATGTGAGATGTGCTAACACATGCAGGGCTTGTCCATCCCCTTCCTCCCCCTGCCCTCTGAGTGCCCTCTGTATGTTTGTGCCTGTGCCCTTCACCCTGTGGGGCATTGAACAGTGTCAAACATCCCCCTGCCCAGCCCTAATCACAGAAGAACTATTTCTACAGATTGGGTTTGGGTCCCTTCTCCCGGGAGATCAAGGCTCTCCCAGGGCCGTGGATGTTCCTGAAAAGCCAAAATGACAAAGCACAGCAAAGCTGTGGCAAGAAGTCAGCAGCTTCCAGGGCTGGCCGGGGAGGTGGGCAGCACCTGGAGGCAGAAAGCAACAGGAACCACTCTGACCAACCCTTTTGCCTTCCACAGCTCATTTTAGGCCACACGGTGGTCTTTGATAAGGGCCATATCTTGAAGCAAGTGGTCTCTGCTGTGTGCACCTACCCCATCTTTAGGAGTGTTTGCCCCTTGGTCCTTTACTTGCCCGGTGGCTTTACCAGCAGTTATGATGTGGTATGTACCCTCCAGCTTACCTTTGAAGGGATCCAGTTGCTCATTGTATGACCAGGAGTTGTCAATTTGCTGCCTTTCACACCTTTGATGGGTAGAAACATCTGGGCTGTTGCATTGGCATTTTGCCCCCCTGGACATTCATTCCATGCTCCAGGGGCCCCCAGGCTTTCTCTTGCACTGAGTGATTTGTGATTTCACAGGGGTTTTAGTGACATTATGGAATAAACTTCCCTTCAATCCACCTCTAGGACTGAAGGCCATCAGGCTTTTCAGTCCACCATCCCTTAGAACAAACGTGTCCCCAAATCAGAGCCTTTCTCTGTGCTCCACTGCACTGAATGTGGAATCCTAGAAAAATCCAGGCTAGAGGCACCAGGCTGGGGGTCTCCATCCCAACCTGCTCCCACCAGGGCCAGCACTACAGTAGGTTACTTGAGGACACATCCAGGCAAGCTGGGCAGTCCCAGAGGGACCACAAGGGGAAGGGCTATTTCCTTGGGGCCAGCCAAGATTTCAGGGTCCAGATCCTGCCAAAACCTGCTCATGTGAGTGAAACTGGGGACAGGTCCACACAGAGTACCAGAAGCACCAAAAGCAATAATAGCTTGATCCTGGGTGGAGTCAGAACTGGGCCACTGTTTCTCAAGGAAAGCGTAGGTGAAATTTCCTAATATTCCAAGAAGGAAACATTAGGAACAACACACAGCTACTGCAGTGAGCTGCACTCTGTCTTTGCAAAAGGATCCTGAGCACAAGCTGTGGAGTCTTGCTTTGGTTTGAAAAGCAGACAGACTCCTAACATGGCCCAGCATCCCCTGGGGAATGCTCAGCTTGCTGAAGGGAGCTCTGCAGCTCTGTGTGAGTGAGACTTGTGTGGCTGCTGAGCAGGATGAGTTTTATTTTGGGGGGGATTTCCCTCCCTGCAGAGAATAAATATCTCCCCTGGTTTCCTGCAGAGCCGCATGGACGTGTACATGTCTCGCTACCCTGACTCAACATCCCTAAAAAACATGCTCCACTGGCGCCAGGTAAGATTTCCTGCTGCAGGGGCAGGTTCCATGCAACAAGAGCCCATGTTCTCTGCTCTCAGCTGCTGAGGGCCTCTGCTCAGTGCGGGGCTTCAATTCCCTGCTGCTCTGCCTGCAGAGCTGGATTTTAGAGAGAGACAGGGAAGCTGGACTGAAACACTGGTGCAGGTGAAGTTCCTTACGCCAGCAAAAGGTGTCCCAGAGTCTTTGGAGCTGGTAGGAGGTGGAGATGGAAGAAAGACTGGTAATAAACCAGGACAGGAGATGCCGAGGGTCAGTAGGACAGCAAATGATCCAGCTAATTATTGGAAGCATGCACAGGCTCACATCTTTCTGCTGTGGACACTGACCATGGCAGACGAAGGAAACTTGCCCACAGGTTTGATTCACGTCTCCTTTGAGGCTTTTGGTTGTACAGCAGGTTCCCTGGGGGGTTTTGGGGCCTCATCCTCCTGACATCAGTGCTCTGCAGAGAGGAGGGGTGAGCAGAGCCTGCACAGCTCAGGCTGTGCTGAGATCTTCCTGGGGACTGAGCTCTGCTCCCAGAATACAATATCAGACATAACAAAGGCTTCCTTGAGCCTGGCTGGCAGGAGGGAGCAAGGCAGTTCCCCAGTCACCCCTGTTATCCTTCTTGGGGTCCCCTCCAACACAGGGATAACAAACTTGGCTCTCCTCCTTTTCCAGCTCTATCAAACAGGGGAATTCAAGTATTATGATTATGGCAGTGACAACATGCTCCATTACAACCAGGTAAGAGAAGACCATTCCCATTTGACAGTTTTAAAAGAGATTTAAAAAAAAAAAAGGGGAAAAGGGAAATAGTGGAAAGAAAATATTGCAGTGGTTGAGACAGACTTTTGAGCATTGAGCAACCTGGACCAGTGGAAAGTGTCCCTGCCCATGGCAGAGGTTTGGAAGTAGATGACCTTTCAGGTCCTTGCCAACCCAAACCATTCTGTGATTCCTTGAATTTTATGGTATTTGTGGCATTTACTTTATATGGGGAAACAAGTGTGTGCCCTTCTTACAAAAGAAGGTGTCTGTGATGTCACTCAGTGATGACTTTGTGACCCTCTGGTGAAAAGCACAGGAGCCCAAGGCACTGTGAGGCTCCCTGGTGATAGTTTCTCTGCTCTAATGGGATAAGGGAGCAATCCCAAGCAGCAGTCAGGAATAGGCTATACTTCCATTTGTCTTGCAGACCTCCCCTCCCTTCTATGAGCTGGAGAAGATGAAGGCCCCGCTGGCCGCGTGGTACGGGGGCAGGGACTGGATTTCAGCCCCTGAGGATGTGAACATCACCCTGCCCCGCATAACCAACCTGGCCTACAAAAAGTACATCCCCGACTTCGTCCACTTCGACTTCCTTTGGGGCAAGCAAGTGTATGAACAAGTCTACAAAGAAATGCTGGATCTCATGGAGAAGAGCTCCTAGAGCTGGAGCAGTGGCCACTGGGAGCTTCTCAATGACTTCTGGGGCTTCTTTGGTTTGGAGGGGGGAAAAAAAAAATGAAGAAACAAAAGAGGGAAAAGGCTCAGTAAACTGCTACACTTGGTTTGGATTGACATTACTGTGGCAAGAGGGGAAAACAAGCCAATGCCATGATCAGGAGAGCACGCTGGCTTTAGGTTCAATAGGCTGAGGTCCTTCAGAAGTTGGGCACGGCCCTTAAACCCTGAGTCTCCTGGGTGCCTCACTCATGGGGGTTTCCAGCAGCCACAAACTGCAGTGGAATTGGGCTCCTGGTGGCCTCCTCACGCTCGTGTTCCCAGCTGCCAACCCCTGGACAGAAGCTCGGTGCCTCCTGGACTCTGGTGTTTCCCGGGAGTGGGTCTGCTGGGATGGACCCACGGGGTGGGTCGAGCGGTGGATCCTCCAGGAGTTGCTTTATTCACCTTCTGGTGACTCTTCCACGCCGAGGACCCCAACATCCTCACATTCTTTGCTTCACTTCACAGTCAGAAGGAGATGGAAGCTCTCTGCCTGCCCACAGCAAAGAGCTCTCATGGGTTTTTCCATCAGAACTGTCCATTTTGCTAACATAGGAAAGGTCTTTCTCAGGATCCTGTTGATTTGGATAACACCGGCCTTGCTCATACACAAAAGAGTTTTCAATCAGTTCGACCAGGAAACACCATTTTAAGCACTTCTAAGGCACAAACCCAGCTGGAAAGGCCACCTTTTGATGCCTCTCAGGGAACACTGTTGTTTTCCTTACGTGGGAGAGAGAAGAGGAGTCTGGTGGAAGCCAGTAATGAGTCTAAATCTGTTTTCAGCCTCTGGATTAAGTTCTTAATAATACATTGATCAGGGGAGGAACTGTGAATTTACCTGTTTGTGTTACTTTATTCACAAAATATGCCTGGGAGCAAGCAGGGCAAAGGATAAGGTCCTCTTTCCACAAATAATAATAATAATAATAACAATAATAATAATAAACAACCCAATAAATTGTTAGGGTCTACTGTGCTCTGTGTGGTTGTACTGTCTTAAACCTCTGGAGAAATTCTCCCCTGTGAGGGTGGGGAGGCCCTGGCCCAGGTTGCCCAGAGAAACTGTGGCTGCCCCTGGATCCCTGGAAGTGTCCAAGGCCAGGTTGGACGGGGCTTGGAGCAACCTGGGCTGGTGGAAGGTGTCCCTGCCCATGGCAGGGGATGGAATGTGCTGATCTTGAATGTCCTTTCCAACCCAAACCGTTGAAGGATTCCATGATTCTCAGAGGGGTGTCCAGCTGGACTGGCCAAGATCCCCTGAGTGTTGCCAGGAGAGTGAGGGTGACCAGC